TGTGTAAAAAAGGCTTTTTTTTGGGAAGAAAATCCCAAAGGGGATTTACATCCACGGGGGAAAAGGCACTGCCGGAACAACCCTAGAGGATAGTCTCTCTCTTGTTTTTGGGTTCTTTTTGGGGGGGATTTCAAAGGAAGCCTTTCGGGTGTATCACTCTGAAAACCCTGGTTTTCAAAAAAAACATCTCATCAAGGTAATTGTGTTTTGAGGGGGGGAAGGCTAACAAAAAGGCATGGGTCTGAGGCAAATTTTCATTGGGGGGTCAATGAAGTTTTTTGGGCCCAAAAGTGGAAAAAAATACTTCCTGGAAAATAAATTGCCACTAAAATTGCCCCCTGGTAATGGACAATGCTCCGCTCATCCTCCAAATTTGGAAAACCAATTGTGGGGGAGTTTTTTCGCACAGTGAAGTTTTTGCCCCCCCCCCCCCCCTAAATGCCCTCTCATCCCCCCGTGGTAGCAGGGTTTTTTAAAAATTTTCAAAAAGTCTACACCAAAGCTTGCAAAGTGCTTTGCAGTGACTCAGCCTGAAAATGACCCCAAGAGAGTTCGGGGAATCACTTCAATATCCTCAATTGCATAAGCCTTAGGGTAAGGCTTGGCGGGAGGACTTCCAGGACAATTTAACTCTTCTTGGAGAAAACTGTGGTCAGAAAGTGTCCTCCAGAAGGATTTTGTAAGGTTTGAGGATGACCCTGGGTCGCCACACTAACCTGCAGCTACTGTTTGGTGGCACTACTTGTTGCACAAGTCATTCCACTTTCTTTTTCTCCATTTATTGTTATAACTTTTAGCCCTAGCCATGGTTCCAATGAATAAAAGAAAGCGCATACACCGTACAATATCCATAAAAGATAAGGTGGCTTTGAAGCCACTGTTGGTCCCATAAGCTCAGTTCACTCAGATAAGCTGTGACCAGTAAATTTGGGCCTAGATATGAGGAGCAGGTCTGTGTGCACTATATAAAAACAAATCCTGCAGCACGCAGCGCACGAGAAAAAACTGCGATCATAGTTTTGTGTAAAACAGCGACTCTGCAGTGTATTTTCATATGGTTTTTATGGTTGTATTCTCATTTCTTTTGGTTTTATTCGATAGAATGAGTCCAAAAATAGATATGATTTTGATTGGTTTCACAATGAAAGTACCTTGAAATTAAGCTCAAAGTAGCAGAAATGTTCAACTTTTGCAGATGTTCAAGAGGAAATAAATGACATCATCATCAAGAGCTCAAAGCAGAGGAATTGTTCGATTTTTGCAGATGTTCAAGAGTAAACAAATGACATACGTCATCATCCAATATGTGTCCAACTGGCCGGTCTAATAAAACTGTCATGAATGGGTTGAAATTATTTATACAATTATTACAATAATGCAGTAGTCTGCATAAAAGTAAATCTTCTATTTTTTGTGTGAATAAAAATTCAAAATGGAAAGCAAGCATAATATAAGAGGACCTGGAGACATGACTAATGAACAGAGAAAATGTTATTTTAGTGCTAGGAATGTCTGCATTGTATATTCTAGACCCTATTTTGAAGTTGGCATCCCTTGAAATTTGTGTGAAATTGGCCAAATTACCAATTTCTGACCATTTTATTGGGTAATTTAAAAAGGTAAATGGGAGGTTTCTTGTATTCAATCGACAGAATAGAAGGAATACTGGTGAAATAGCTATGAGTTTGGTAGACTGGAACAATGGAATGAGCCAAATATAGGGCATAAAGTGGGTGAAATTGCCAATTAATATACAGTGGAACCTCAAAAATCGAACTGCTTCCAACTCAACCAATTATGTAAGAGTATTTTTGTAAGTGCTTTTATAAGTGTATTTTTGAGGGTCTGAAATGAACTAATCTAATTTACATTATTCCTGATAGGAATAAATTCGTTCAGTAACGGCACTCAGACAGCCTACTGGACTGAAGAAAGTTCGATATTTGAGGTTCCACTGTATATTGTATAATAATTTAATACTGTATACTAAAGAAAAATTAAATATTCCATATTTAAATACAGCCTCTCCTCACTTAATTAAAAATGGAATTCCATTCTTAAGACCACATCAGTAAACGAATTTGTCGCTAAGCAAGGAGCACACTATAATGGTAGTGGGTTTGTCACTTATCTTTGATATTGTTTTAATGTCACCTTTGCACCATTTATAACATTTTAGTATATTTTTAAGTGTTTATACAGTAGTGTACTGTATACTGTAATAAAGAGAATAGAGGAAATCAGCTCTAATATACATTATTTAGGTATGCATACTGGTCAGAGAAACCATACCACGGGTGGGGTTAGAACCCACGATCAGTCACGAAACTCAAGACCTACACATTAGCCACTGTTTGCAACCATGTCATTACGATTTCATGAGTCTGGTCAGTAAGTCTGAGTCGTTGGTAAATGAGTATGTTGCTAAGTTAGGAGAGGCTGTATTACTGTACAGTAAGACCCCCGTATCCGAGGGGGATATGTTCTAAAGGCATGCCACAGATACCAAAACCACGGATAGTAGCAAACCCTATATACAGTGGACCCCCGCTTAACGATCACCTCCCAATGCGACCAATTATGTAAGTGCGTTTGTACGTGTATGATTGGGGGTCTGAAATGGACTAATCTACTTCACAATATTCCTTATGGGAACAAATTCGGTCAGTACTGGCACCTGAACATACTTCTGGAATGAAAAAATATCGTTAACCAGGGGTCCACTGTATATGTAAATTGTTTTTCATTTACTGTACATACATGCCTATTTTTTTTTTTTTCAACAAGTCGGCCGTCTCCCACCGAGGCAGGGTGACTCAAAAAAGAAAGAAAATCCCCGAAAAGAAAATACTTTCATCATCATTCAACACTTTCACCACACTCACACATTATCACTGCTTTTGCAGAGGTGCTCAGAATACAACGTTTAGAAGCATATACTATAAGTCAAAACATACCCCTCCAAAAATGCCAATATCCCAAAACCCCTCCTTTAAAGTGCAGGCATTGACTTCCCATTTCCAGGACTCAAGTCCGACTATATGAAAATAACCGTTTCCCTGAATCCCTTCACTAAATATTACCCTGCTCACACTCCAACAGATCGTCAGGTCCCAAGTATCATTTGTCTCCATTCACTCCTATCTAACACGCTCATGCACGCTTGCTGAAGTCCAAGCCCCTTGCCCACAAAACCTCCTTTAACCCCCTCTTTCCAACCCTTTCGAGGACGACCCCTACCCCTCCTTCCTTCCCCTATAGATTTATATGCTTTCCATGTCATTCTACTTTGATCCATTCTCTCTAAATGACCAAACCACCTCAACAACCCCTCTTCTGCCCTCTGACTAATGCTTTTATTAACTCCACACCTTCTCCTAATTTCTACACTCCGAATTTTCTGCATAATATTTACACCACACATTGCCCTTAGGCAGGACATCTCCACTGCCTCCATGCCTATTATAGAGTTTAATTAATAAATTATGCACAATAAGTAGAGAATTATCACTTTTTCACTGATGGGAAGCACTTCATGACTTCTCTTAGGCTTTGAAGAACTTCCACCATTGCTACTTTTGTACTCTGAGGCCATTATTAAGCAAAATTAAGGGTTATTTTTGAGCCACAGCAAACTGCAGATAACTGAAACCACGGATACAGGACCCACGGATACAAGGGTCCCACTGTATAATCATATTAAACACTAAGTAATGTTATTGCTATATTACTTTAAAGCAAATCTTAAATGCAGTACACTACTTTACTATGTGAAATGAAAATTCTTGCAAAGATTATCAGACCGCTAGGCTTGAATAAGTTCTATATATAGAGTAAAATCTTGGGTTAAAGGGAAAAATCCATTGTTTGGACAAAGCCTTTTTTTCCTCAGAATTGTGCTTTTGTTGTTACAGCTACTTGGTAAATCTATTCTAGATTTAACAATCCAGTGTTTCTAGAATTCCCCATTATTGTTACAATCATGGAAAAACAATCACTTTGTTTAGATTTAGCACAACCAGCATTACCATCATCAAGGTTTCCCTGCGTCAACTTTTATCTTACCTTTCCGTGAGAGTCTCTTTAACATAAGGAGGAAGCTTGGAGGCACGGGTGTTGGGATACATGAATGGAGAATCAGTTTCCACTAAAAGGCGGTCAAGGGGAACCACTCCATCTTCCAAGATACGTCGCACGCCATCCTCAGACTTGTCTTTCCATACATACCCTGAAGTATGTACATTATCAATGATTAAGAAGGGTTATAAGGGCAATGTGCTCATGGCCTAAGGTTTTGAAAGTAATGACTATTTTTTTAAGGAAAGGTGCAATAAAAATGCTGAAGTAATTTATTTTTTTGGTAAACTGATTGGTAAAAAAAAAAAAATTCCTTGTAATAGAAATCCCCCAATTACTGACAGTACACTTATTAATTTTTCATTAGGTAACAGTTTTGCTTAGGAAGAACCGGTCTCCCATTTAGTAGCAGCTTGCACTCAGTGGGCAGGTCTATGCTGCTTACAGGACACACATCTTTGGTGGCAAAGTTTGCACATTTTGGTGGAGCAGGAAATGGGGGTTGACTAGCTAAATGTGCAGTGTAGTCACTGCTTTTGGTTGCTTTGCAAGCTGGACTTTTTTTGCTTTGTCCTAACTCCACTGCTCTGTACATTTTACCCCAGCAATTATAAGTTCCAAATGACCAAGTGGCAAGGGTTGAAGTGGTAGTGTAAAAAGCAGAGGAAGAGCAATGCCTCAGATGCCAAAATGGATATTTCACGGCAGGTAAATGCTGCCATAAAGCCATGTGCAATCACCAAACACTTGGCTATCCAATCGGTAGTTTATATTAAGAAACCGGAGATCTATACAAAAAAAAGCAATAGCTGCGTGAATCCTAACTCTGCCAAGAGTTGCTTGCTGCTGGAGGACACAGAAATGCTTCTTAGTACTGTATGTGGATCAAATGAGATCCAAAAAACATGCCTCTTAGAACATTCATTATTCAGGAAAAGGCTAGGAGTTTGTTTGAACATTTAAAACATATGGAAAGTGAATGTGCAGGAATGCTGAATGTATTACATCGAGTAATAAAACGAAGTGCTGATACTGAAGCAGCTGCCTCATTAACAATGTGTTGTTGATCATAGAAGATGGTGGCTACACACCTCAGCAAGTCTTCAATGCTGATGAAACTGGGCTTTATTGGAAGTAGATGCCATCGAGAGCCTTCATATCATGAGGGGGAGAAGGCTCCAATATCAAAACAGCCAAGGATCATCTTATTTCTTGTGGAAGGCAATGCAGCAGGGGATTTCAGTCTTCAGCTCCTGTTAGTTTTACCACTCTGAAATGCCAAGAGTTATGAAGAACTTCTACGAATCGAATCTCTCTCTAATTTGGCACGCTAACAAGAGAGCATGGGTAACATAAGTACATTTGATTGGTTTACAGTGCATTTTTGCCCAGTTGTTGAAAAATACTGTCCTAACAATCACCTTGCTCACAAGGCATTGCTCCTTCAATAAGGCCTGTGTTATGCCATTACACTGAATGTCTTTTTTCTGAATGTCAGGGTTTGGTTTTTCCCCTGAAGAACATCTAGTCCTTGATTTAGCCAATCAACTAAGGTGTTCTAAATGCCTTTAGGCTTGATTATCTAAGGAAAAATCTTTAAACTGAAAGACATCAATGGCCAGAAAAAAAGTAAAAAATCACCGAGTTCTTGAGAACATATATCAAGGACACTTTTCAGACATTATATATCTTGGTATGAATACCAGGCTGCCACAATGGATGTTTCAATCACTTCAATGGATTATAGGAAATATTTTCAAACCTACACAGAAATACAGTACGACTTTCCGGGGGTGTTGGAGTTGACAAGGCTGATGAAGTGGTGGTATTGCCAAAGTCTGGGAGACCCTCACCAATGAGGATATTATGTGCCTTCAAGAAAAACCAACGGGAAACGGGCAATAAATCTGAATCTTTTTTGATTTAAAAGGGACAATTCCCAAAAATTTTTATGGTAAAAATTTTTAAAAAAATTTAAAGGGTTTTAGAAAATCTACCTCACTAAAATACAAAATAAATTCATTTAGTAGTCAGTCTGTTCCACAGTACGGATCTACATGCATGGTAGTCGTGATATTACAGAACACTTCCCATTTGGGCCATTGAGCAAAGTGGGGCCTCCTTTTTAAATTCTTCTCCACCCTTTTTGAAAGAAAAACTTCCCAGCATTTTTTTTGGTTCCACATTTTCTAAATTTATATCTCGGCCTCATTATCCCAATTTATTATTTGCATCTTTTCAACCTTGCTTTATACTCTTTCCCCTGCAATTTTAGTGTTTTCCCCTTTCAGTACCAGTTTTTTTTTTTTAGAACCATAATCAGTGACTATTAAAATTTTGACCAAATACACTTGAAAAGTTTTTTTCCAAATACCCTCCATCAATTTTTTTAAAGCACCTTAAATTAGAACATTACACAAGGACTCCCCTTGAATACCTAAAATCATTTAGAATACCCCAATGATCCACAAACATGAAAACCTAAAATTTTGCCTGTAGTCTTGGGCCCACAGGCAGTGTTCTGGCCCTCTGCTCTTTCTCATTTAAATCAAAGACCTCCCCAACGATTTTGTCTTTTTAAACCATTTTTTTGCAGATGCCCACTACTTATGTCTTCCCACTCTAACCGACGTACTTAGTGCACTTTAAATGCAAGCTACAATGTTCTACAGGATACCAAAAAAACCCCAAATAGAAAACCTATTCGTGCGTTTGGAAACGGCTTTAAATATCCCATTAATTAAGGTTTCCCCCATCCACAATACACTTAGGGCAAATTTTTAGGCTACACACTGAACAACCTTTTTCAGCCCACATCCCAAAATATAAGTTGGTCGAAAAACAGTAGGAATTCTTTCCCAAATACCTCAAACGGCACTACTGACACCATACCACCTTCCAAACTACACTTACCTCACCTATGGTATTTTCTTGGGATCTACCACGCCAATCACCCTAAAAACCTTAATAACCCAAAAAAAAATGCTGTGTGGATACACCAAATTTTAAACCCGAAAAAAACCCTCCCACTCTTTAAGGTTTTAACCATTTAAAAACAAAATGCACCAAATTTTTATGCTGATTATTTCAAGAGAAAATTAAACTTTAATACAAACCCCCCTTTAAACTTCTTCGATAGCCCCAAAAAAGAATGCACGGGCACAAACAAGGGACAAAAATTTCGACATCCCTTGTATCCTCTCACCCTATAAAAAAAGCAATGCCAAAAGGGGTTTAAAACTGGAATTTATTGCCCAACCAGAGAAAGGTCCCCCGCCTGCAAATCAGTTTAGGGCTATAATTAAAAATCATTCTCCATGAGCAAGTGGAAAAGAATTCCTCTGTAAGCCATGCCTGTTATAAGAGGCGACTAAAATGCTGGGAGCAAGGGGTTAGTAACCCCCTTTCCTGTATAAATTACTAAAATTAAAAAGAAAAAATTCATTTTTCTTTTTAAGTCACCCTGCCTCAGTGGGATACATCTGGTTTATTGAAAAAAAAAAAAAATCATCTCATCTCCCAAACTAAACTAAACCAACACTATTCATTCAACCAGGTTTGAAACTACTCAAGTAATCTCTATCGACTCAAGGCCACTATATAAATCTGAAATATTAAGATGCACTTAAAATTGTACTGTTGTAATATTGCAAATTGTACTAACTGTAATACTTTAATACTTTTATTTGTTTCTTGCACCATCTCTACTATAAACCTTAATAATTATAAAATTTTTGGCTACCTCTCATTTGCATTAATGTAAAATAATAAAAAAATAAAATTTACCACTCCATAACCTACATTTAGTTTTTTAGTAGTGTGGAAGCATTAGCATTAGTCTGCCTGAAATACTCAAGCTTGGTAGTGGCTTTCTTTGTGCTCAACAATATTTTATATCATGTAAACTTCACATTGTATACTATGCAAAGAAGTAAAATAACTATTTGCATAGTTAGTGTAGCATATGCATTTCTCACAACTTCATTTACATGATAGCTTGGTAACACATTTTCTTTAATAAAAATTCCCAGATACCTACCTTTGCACAATACTATAAAAAATGTCACATAATCTGTATTATTTTCATGGCCTGATTTTGCTTTCTCACATTTTCATTACATGGCATTTATCAACAAAATAATTCACTCAACTATCACTCCATTTGCTCAATTTATCCACATCTCAAATTTGCTCTCAGGGTGGCAAATTTAAAAAAAAAAAAAAAAAAAAAAAATCTTATGAAATGGTAGAGAATTTTTTTCAGAAGGTAATAAAATAAAAAGTACAAAATTTGATGGAAAACCTGATGAAATTGTTTTCTCAAATTTTTCTGTGTCAGTGATATTTACGCATCGGCAATTTCCTCCACTCTGAGTCTGATTGTTCCAGTTGAAAAAATTCTTAGCTATTGTGCTAGTCTGTCTTCCATGCTATCAACTAAGCAAAAGAAATCACCCAATCAACTATTTCAACTACCCAATAAAGTGATTACAAAATTGGTAATTTGGCCAATATCACACAAATTTCAGAATATTTCAATTTCAAAATAGGGTCCAGAATAAACAATGGAGTCATTTCTGGCACTAAAGTAACATTTCCTCTGTTTATTAACTATGTATCCAGGTTTTACACATGAATTCCATTTTGAATTTTTATTCACATAAAAAATATAAGATTTACTGTTATGCAATATTGTAATAAATGTATAAATAATATCAGCGCATTCGTGAACACCAGCTGACATGTATTGGATGCATTGGCAGAAATTGAACATTTCCACTACAGTGGAACCCCGGTTAACGATATTTTTTCACTCCAGAAGTATGTTCAGGTGCCAGTACTGACCGAATTTGTTCCCATAAGAAATATTGTGAAGTAGATTAGTCCATTTCAGACCCCCAAACTTACACGTACAAACGCACTTACATAAATACACTTACATAATTGGTCACATTCGGAGGTAATCGTTATGCGGGGGTCCATTGTACTTCGAGTTCAATTTCAAGCTATTTTCATTCCTAAAATCAATAAAAGTCATCTCTATTTCTGTAATATATCTTCCATTCTATTAAATGAGACCAAGAAACCAAGAATACAACCATAAAAACCGTATGAAAATATACCTCAAATTTGCTGTTTTAAACCAAAATCATGGTTGCAGTTTCCCCCCCCCCCCCCCATTATGCACTGCTTGCTGCAGGATTTTTTATATGGTGCACACCTACCACATAGACCCATTATCTCACACCTAGGCCCAAATTTACTGCTCACAGCTTATCTGAGTGAGCAGAGCTCATGGCGTAGTACTACAGAACCGACACTGGCTTCAAAACCACAATACAATGGGACCGACCTCAAAAGGGTTAAAGATTGACAGTCATTTGTTATCTATTTTGCACAAAAATTTTTGCATCTGCAAATAGATTCATATAGTTTATTTCTCCTGTTAAGTCATTTAAATAAATTAAGTAAAGTAAAAGGACACAAGTGCAACTAATGTGACAACGTTTCGCTCTCCAGGAGCTTTATCAAGCCATTACAAACAATACATGGACACAGGGTATATAAAGGCTCAGAGTGAGGTGCAATACTAGTGAGGTACCATTTCGATGAGTAGTAGTAGTAGTAGTAGTAGTAGTAGTAGTATAGTAGTAGTAGTAGTAGTAGTATAGTAGTAGTAGTAGTATAGTATTAGTTAGTAGTAGTAGTAGTAGTAGTATTTAGTAGTAAGTAGTAGTATAGTAGTAGTAGTATAGTAGTAGTAGTAGTAGTAGTAGTAGTAGTAGTAGTAGTAGTATAGTATAGTAGTAGAAAGTAGTAGTAGTAGTAGTAGTAGTAGTAGTAGTAGTAGTAGTAGTAGTAGTAGTAGTAGTAGTAGTAGTAGTAGTAGTAGTAGAAGTAGTAGTAGTAGTAGTAGTAGTAGTAGTAGTAGTTAGTAGTAGTAGTAGTAGTAGTAGTAGTAGTAGTAGTAGTAGTAGTAGTAGTAGTAGTAGTAGTAGTAGTAGTAGTAGTAGTATTAGTAAAAGTAGTAGTAGTAGTAGTAGTAGTAGTAGTAGTAGTAGCAGTAGTAGTAGTAGTAGTAGTAGTAGTAGTAGTAGTAGTAGTAGTAGTAGTAGTAGTAGTAGTAGTAGTAGTAGTAGTAGTAGTAGTAGTAGTAGTAGTAGTAGTATAGTAGTAGTAGATAGTAGTAGTAGTAGTAGTTAGTAGTAGTAGTAGTAGTAGTAGTAGTAGTAGTAGTAGTAGAATATGGAAGAGCAGTTAATTCGTACATGAGTAAAAGGATATAAAAGCTATTACTTGGGTAACATGTATTGTTTGTAATGGCTTGATAAAGCTCCTGGAGAGCGAAACGTTGCCACAATAAATGTCACATTAGTTGCACTTGTGTCCTTTTACTTTACATATTGTCGGTAATTCTACCAACTTTAATAAATAAATTAAGAACATTATAGAGACAAGTACAAATCTGTGATAACCCACTGATAACATTTCCCCCCTTCCCCCATATTTTTTTTTTTTCAACAAGTCGGTCGTCTCCCACCGAGGCAGGGTGACCCAAAAAAAAGAAAGAAAATCCCCAAAAAGAAAATACTTTCATCATCATTCAACACTTTCACCACACTCGCACATTATCACTGTTTTTGCAGAGGTGCTCAGAATACAACAGTTTAGAAGCATACACATATAAAGATACACAACATATCCCTCCAAACTGCCAATATCCCAAACCCCTCCTTTAAAGTGCAGGCATTGTACTTCCCATTTCCAGGACTCAAGTCCGACTATATGAAAATAACCGGTTTCCCTGGGAAACCCTTCACTCAATATTACCCCGCTCACACTCCAACAGATCGTCAGGTCCCAAGTACCATTTGTCTCCATTCACTCCTATCTAACCACGCTCACGCACGCTTGCTGGAAGTCCAAGCCCCTTGCCCACAAAACCTCCTTTACCCCCTCTCTCCAACCCTTTCGAGGACGACCCCTACCCCGCCTTCCTTCCCCTATAGATTTATATGCTTTCCATGTCATTCTACTTTGATCCATTCTCTCTAAATGACCAAACCACCTCAACAACCCCTCTTCTGCCCTCTGACTAATACTTTTATTAACTCCACACCTTTTCCTAATTTCCACACTCCGAATTTTCTGCATAATATTTACACCACACATATGGATGGAGTGAATGATGGTGCAAGTTTTTCTTTTTCGGGCCACCCTGCCTTGGTGGGAATTGGCCGGTGTGATAATAATAATAATAATAATAATAATAATATATAAAAAATTAAAGGATATTTTTCCTCATCACTTTGCATTTTCCTCTGAAACAATATCTCTCATCCATGCTAATAGTTGGTTTTCATTCATCCTATTTTATGAAGTTCCCAAATTTCTCCCATGGGGAACTATCAAAAGCATTCATAAAATATAGAAAATACAATCTGTCCATTTTATTCTTCAACAATTTGTGACTGTCATAATAGATTAGTAGATTTGATATACAGGCATACTTTGCTAATACAGCAGGTTAGGCTCCAGGCCACTGCCATAAAACAAATACAGCCTCTCCTCACTTAGTTACATATTGTGCTTGTTTACCGATGACTCAGACTTACGACGGGCTCTCTGACCAATGTGCATACCTAAATAATGTATTTTAGAGCTGATTTCCTCTATTCTGTTTAATACAATATACAGTACCCTACTGAATATTGTATTAACACCTAAAAATATATCAGAAATGTTATAAATGATGCAAAGGTGACATTAAAATAATAAAGAAAGAAAGACATAAACCCACTACCATTAGAGTATGGTCCTCACTTAGTGACGAATTCATTCACTGAAGTGGTCTTAGGAACAGAACTCTGTTGTTAAGTGAGGATAGGCTGTATTATCTTAAAGGGGATCATGGCCTTTGTTATTTTCACTTGCCAGTGCATATAAAAGCCTTAAAACATATTTACCCTATCATTTACTAGGTGTGCAATAGTGCTAGGCTTAAGAAAATGATGCAAAAGAAAAAATAACTAAAAATGCTACAGTACTGTACTGCTAACCTGATGTGCGAATCACCGCTGAAAATAATAATCGTAAATGTGATTAAAAAGTTCCGTATTTGTGAGGTTTGCTTGCACAGGTCTCTCCCATCTAATTACCAGGTTATTCTTTAAGTGTTTTATGCACTTTTCTCTAACAACTTTTTTATTCTTTGGGTCACCCTGTCTTGATGGGCAATAACCAATATGTTAAAACTTTAAACTGTAATGCTTGATCATAAAAAAAAGTGAATATTTCCCATTATGACAAACAACTTGAAGGTGCACTATCTGTGCTGAAGTTTACTCTATGTGGGACAATTAGTGAATGGTGTACTGTACATCCTAGCCAATTGCATATTAATGTCTTTCACTACATTAGCAAAGTAACTGATGAGTCAAATATACGACAGCTCTAAAAATATGAGATAGTATTTGAGCCATCAAACCTTCAACAACCATTTTGCAGATTTGATAGGACCATGTGAAAGGATAAAAGTGACTATCACTTGAATACAGTGACAAGAGACATACCCAAACTGGTATGTTTTTAATTCCTTCTTTTCTTAATAATGAACATCAAACCTTCCTTAATCTTAAAAGGTTTGACTGCAACTAATGAGCTAGGAATGGAATATAGATAATAGATTTATATAAACTGTGATGACAGTATGTGAACCAACAATAATTAGCACCTTTCAGGGTATATAATTGTATAGTATTTGAATAAAGTGAGGAAAAAAAATTTAATAGTGAAAATTAGAAATACACAGGTTAAAAATATTACTGTAAAGAAGCATAAGTAAGTTTGTGCATGCCATAATTACACTACGTCATAAAACAATTATCTAATAAAAGATATAGGAAATGCTCTCACAGTTTTCTTATGTTAATCTTGTTAAATCATTCAACATGCCCTTTCACAGTTATCTATGTATAGTGCACAACAAACAGTTTATATTAAATATATGTTATAACCAGTACCTGTTAGTCCAATATAGCAGCCTTCTTTGAGGTAGGCAGTAGCCTGGGCAGTATCCCCAGTGAAACAATGGATTACAACCGGAGGCAGACGACCCTTGTACTTTCCCAAAACCTCCAGCACCTCCTTGTGGGCGTCTCGTTCGTGTACAAATAAAGGTTTCCTCAGTTCACATGCTAATGAGACCTGATGAAAGAAATTGTGAAAAAACAAATTTAAGAAAATATGACCAAGCTAAATGAATTCCATCTTGTCATCTCAAGGTCTGCTAGAAAGGAGGATTTGTTAGTGCCAACCATCAAAGCTCACAATAATTACAGTACTGATATTAGCTTTCATTCTCTTTCTTAACACTGATGCTAATCTCTACAGCATGAGCTTTTTAAAAATTTTTTCACCTAGAAGCACACCAACAGTCAAGGAAAGAGTAATTTATTGTACGGTATATAGTACAGGCAGGTTCCACTTTAGAGTGCTTCACTTTACAGCATTATGTTAATACAGTCGTTTTCAATTATACCCATTCTTCATTTATTCAGACTTCCTACAATAAATATATTCACCACTCACTATAAGCGAAGGATGAAAATATTTTAAGTAATGTGTGTACTCTATAGATATTTTTTAGGCCTAGCTATATTGCTCACTTAATAAATGATAGCATAAATATGTTATCAAGCTTTTTCCATAATTTGAAAGTGAAAAAAGGCTATAATTCACTTTAGTGATTTTTGTTTAACAGCGGTAGCCCGGAGCCTAACCTGCTGTATAAGTGGGGCCCTCCTGTACCATAATACAATTCATTACTGAGTGTAATGAACACTGCTCCATATAACCAGCTTACAAAATGTGTCACTGAACAGTATTCAATACAGCCAGCTTTAGGTACACTGCATTATAAATGTACTAATCTCCGCAATTCTATATTTATTTTTTATTATCAAACTGGCCGATTCCCACCAAGGCAGGGTGGCCCACAATTCTAATTACGCAATATTTAAATATGAAATTACTGATTGGTGTAATAACTACCATGCTTTATTTAGAAAATAATCAGTAGCGAGGACTTCTGAGTAGTTTGTGGATGATACTTGCCTTTATACATGGAAGTAATAGCTGATCCGAATGCCTAGCATAACCTACTGTACAAGATTTATTAATACGGCATAATTTTTTTGAAATAAAGGCACATAATTAGAAACAATAACACATTATGTTACAGTAGACCAGCTTATAAAATGCATTCATACAGCACATTTTTTTGTGACAGTTGAGAAAGTGCAGCATAAATTAATATAGGATGTATATGACACCACTGCTGACTAACAAACGATTCACAGTCGTCTACTGATCAGTGATCACATCAACATCTCCAAATACTTCTTTACCATCAAGCAGGAGAATAAGGAATTCAAAGTAGGATAAAACTTTTTTGTTGCTATAAAAAGGAGAAAACTGTATAGTGAATTTTGTGATTGCATCAGGTGATGAAATGTACCAGTAGCATCAGCAAATAAAATACCACCCACAGCAATCTACTGGGCCAGTAAGTTACATAACCATCTTCAAATACCTCTACATCAACAAGTAAGAGAACAAGGAATTTAAGGAAGTATAAAATTCTTCCTTGTCATTATTATGAAAATAAAATTAGTGAATTGTGTGGAGTCACCTGCTGAAATTTACGAATCAAGTAACCAAAAGCATCACAGCTACCACTAAGTAGTCACATAACCATCTCCAAATATTTTATCAGCAAGCAGCAAAGTAAGGAATTTAAGATGGGATTAAACTACTTCCTTGTCACTATTACAAAATGAGAAAATTGTTGAGTGAAATGTGCAAGTGTGTCAGATAATGAAACAGATGACCTATAGCTATCTACTGCTGAAATGAGCTACATGACTATCTCCAACCACTTCCAAACTCTTAGCATATTTCATGCTAATAAGACTGTATTAATAGGAATAACTGATAGTGTATTAGCCTTCTGTTTTCTCTGAATGGCAGGAACAGATGGTAGACTGCATTAACACCAGCTTCTTCAGGCCTTATTGAACTTATCTGGTAACAAAGATTTTATTTATGATTTGGGTACATACAGTATTTCTAGATCCACCAGCAGCATTAAGTGCAGTGTAGGTTGTTACAAACTATTATTTTTGATGAAATAAATTTTTAAAAGAATACGGGATATCTGGGGCTCCAAGGAATGTAACCCTATTTTTCCCAAATTCTTCAATTTGCTTAGCACGTTTTTGCACAAGATGCTGTTTTCAGGAACATAATTGCCATCTTATACAGGGGTCTACTGCATTACTTTTCCAACGAATTAGAAAAAAATTATTAAAATTCCATGATGCTGTTGAGAAAATCTTCAAAATTATTATCTTACCTGCTTTTCAAAGACCTCCAGCTGGACATCCTGAGGAGAAAAGTTTCGATTGAAGTCCAGTCCGCACTCGCCAATGGCCACTACTTCATGATTGGCCGCTAATTCTCTAAGTGCCTCTTCTGTTTCATCATCCCATGACTTTGCTTCATGAGGATGGATACCTATACGTACAACAATTTATTTTGTACTAAATTATATGAATTCTTTTCTCACAGACCATGTTACTTGTAGACTAGATCAAATTTTATCAGTAGCAAAATACTGTACAGTACTTATGTAACGTTATACAGTTCATCCATTAAGAATTTAAATTTATGTTTAGTAAAATGATGTGAGGTATAGATAATAATCTTTCAATTAATGTATTTCTATATATTGGTTTACCTGCTGTTGAGTAAAGTGTTTCAGGGAAGAGACGAGTTAGGCGAAGTGCGTCTTTGCTGCTCTGTACTGTGATGCCCGTCACCATGATCTTATGAACTCCTGCAAGCAGATTAAGAATTTGTCTTTCATGTGGGTGGGATTAATTAACAATATCTGCAATTGAATTTGTACTTTTATCTTTCTTAATAATGCACATGAAAATTTATAAACGAATCAAAGATAAAAGAAATGCAGCTGCTTGTCTCGAGCACAAAAGATAAGAGCATTAAAACTTCAAACTATACCTGCATCTCGAGCTCTTGACACAACAGAGTCTAGGTCCCTTGTGAACTTTTTGTTGGTCAAGTTAGCTCCAATGTCAACAATGATGTAGTTCTCTGATGTTAACAGAGCTCCCATAGCATCTTCCAGGTCATCCATCTCACTGTTCTCCTTAACTTCCCTCTCTGCCATCACAACTTTTTTTTTTTACTTATTTTTTCTGAAAATGGTTAATTATGTAAATTAATAAAAAGACTTAATAATCTATCTATATTATTCCCATTTTTAATAATTAGTCCTTATTATACAAGTCAACCTAGGAAAAAATACTGTATTTGGAAGATAAACAGCATATAATACAATGAAATAACCAGGGGCTTTCTATAAAGTATGCATATCATGTCAATTAATCTCATATCAATTGTATATTATACTTTATAGAAATAATCAACATAAATTGTTATATGGCAGTTTTTTACCACATCAGCCACTTCCCACAAAAATAGGGTGGCCCCACTATCATTCATTCAATAACTGCATTACCATAGGTGCACAGACATCACAATTTACATAACCCTAAGAAGTGCAACATCCTCACCCATCCTTCAGATATACAGATGCTCTTACAAAGTTCTGTTTTGAGTTTCCAAAATACAGTGGTGCCTCGGGATACGAAATTAATTCATTCCAGAAGGCTGTTTGAGTGCTGATACCGAATTAATTTGTTCCCATAAGGAATAATGTAAATTAGATGAATCCATTTCAGACTCCCAAAAATACACTTACAAAAGCACTTACAGTGGAACCTCAAATATCGAACTTAATCCGTTCCAGGAGTTAGTTCTAAATTCGAAAAGTCTGAAAAGCGAAGCAATATTTCCCATAAGAAATAATGGAAATAAAATTAATCCGTTCCTGAAACCCAGAAATATTCACAAAAAAAAAAAAAAAACATTTTATAGAGATTAATTATAGTTTTACATACACACAACAAATATAGTGTTCAATTATGTATTAATAAATTTAAATAAACATATAAAATAACATTTTACTACCTTTATTGAAGATTGGTGATGGCATCTGGAAGATAGGGAGGAGGAGAAAGGGAGTTGGGGTTAGTGTTTGGAAGGAGAATCCCACTCCATGAGGACTTCAGGTATCAAAGCCCTCTCTGGGGTTACTTCCTTTCTCTGTCTTTTAATGCCACTAGGACCAGCTTGAGAGTCACTGGACCCCTGTCTCACAAAATAACTGTCCACAGTCCTCTGTTTCTGGTGCCTCTAAGATTTCCCTAAAATGGGACATGGTTCTGTCACTGAACTTGTTGCAAAGATGGCTTGTTTCAACTTGCTCAGGGTGGTACTTCTCCACAAACATTTAGACATCATTCCACTTCTGTATTATTTCCTTCTTCACATCTATGGTGTTTCTCACTTTTTTTTACCACAGGGGTATCACAAGCAAGTTTCTTTGGGCCCATTGTAGTTTATATCACAGTTCCACAAGCACTAAACACAATGAAGTAATCATAAAATGTTTGAATGAGAACGGCAGGTTAGTGTTCACTCAAGCATCAACAAAACCAGACTGGCTCACGGGGCCTGTGTGGGGACGCAGACAGAGCGAGCTGCCGGACAGGTCTGGTACCCAGTGGTTCGAAAATAGGGGCGAGTTCGATAATAGGGACAAAGTTGGTTCAAAAAAAAGGTTCTATTTTCGAAGTTTGATAAGCGATACATTCGAAATTTGAGGTTCCACTGTACATAAATACACTTACGTAACTGTTCAAGTTTTGAGCTGTTCGTATCCCGAGGTACCACTGTCTTGTAAAACAGATTTACTGGACCCAGAGTTAATGGATTTTCTATTTAACAGAAAATCCACTGAGTAAATTGATTTCAGAAACAACGGACAAAGTTTTTTGGTTAAAAAATTGTCCGTAACTGTTATGACTCACTGGAAAAACTGATTTCAGAAATAATAAAATCTGTTGTTTACAGAACTGTCTTATTATTTTGACCACAGCAAAACAATCATTATTAAGATTTAATTAACAGAACACTGGCATTATTGAATACCCTCTCCTTCCTATTAATCCATTAAATTGAGGTCTTACTATCTGCATTAAGCACATGAGAGTACTACATGAGAGAGAGAGAGACTGACAACAGACAACATGAAGTCCACACCTAGGTTATCTGCTGAGAAAAATTGTTTCTATCTAGATTAATAACTATCATATTGAATGTAGGTTTCCAAGTTAAGGGGCTGTAAAAATTTTTTTTAGTCTTTACTTATCGTTTGATTTCATTCATTTTTTGTTTTGTTACAATCAGCATGCATGAAGTATTATAAAAAAGTTCTATTAAGATTGGCCAACAAACAAATAAAAAAAAATTGGATTTGGCAACACTGTTTTGATTGTTGTAACATATCAGTACTGCCAAAAGTGTTTTGTATACTGTCTACTAATAGAGCAATGCCAAATCAATTTTTTGGAAGGTGGAAAATACTATACGTAATATATCTTATTTTCATCCCCCAAATAAAGCTAGCAAGTTGTGGACATTTTTATAAAATATCTGCCCTTTACCTCCCCACAAATGCAAAAAAAAAAAAAAAAAAAAAAAAAAAAAAAAAAAAAAAAAAAAAAAAAAAAAGGGGCCTATTGTGAAAAAAAAAACTTTCAATTTTTAAAACATGCATTGTTGAATGTTTGTTGTTAAAATCATTTCAATTTGTTCATTATTAATAGTACATCAATAGCAAATAGGTATAAATAACTTGCTTTCAAGATATGCAAGAAAACCTCTCTGGGCCTATTACCTGTGGTGTCATCACATCAAATGTTGTTGTTACTATAATTCACTGAAGAAACATCGTAGGAAAATGAGATTTACACCAAAACGTTGCCAGATTTGAGAACTATTTTTCAGTAACCTTAACTCATTTCTGATTTTTTTTTATTTTTATGTATAAACAGGAAGTGCATCTGTCTCTCACTCAGGAGATGAAGGATCAAGCCTCCACCATGTTGTGCTGTGAATAACCCATATGGGTTTAGTGCTTAACATGAATACTGAATTCTTAAATGAATATAGTACAGTGGAACCCTGGATTTCACCCATAATCCATTCCAGAAGATCGGCCTAAATCCGAAAAGGCCGAAAACCGAAGTAATATTTCCCATAAGAATTAATATAAATACAATTAATCTGTTCCAGACACCCAAAAATATTAAAAAAAAAAAAAAAAAATTTTAAAGATAACTATAATTTTACATACAGAAAGCAATGAGTAATAAATATAAAGCACAAATTTTAATGATAAATAAACATTACACTTTATTGAAGACTCTTGTTGGCATATTCCTTTATTTGTCTTTTACTGGCACTAGGACCAGCTTGAGAGTCACTGCACCTTTTTCCATAAAAAACTGTCCAGAGTGGTCTGTTTCTGGCATTTCTTAAGATTTGCCTAAAGTGGGACAAGGTTCTGTCACTGAATTCTATACTGTTTCTCACTTTCTTTAACAAAGGACTGGCAAGAGTGAACAACAATTCCACCGTAAAAATTCTTTATGGTAGTTCTGCCTTGTAAGATTTGGCGTACAAGAACGCACTATGTTGGAGAAACTTCCATGTGTCTTCAAGACACATGGAAGTTCCTCCAACACTCTCAAGACACATGGAAAGTTCCTCCAACACTCTCAAGACACATGGAAAGTTCCTCCAACACTCTCAAGACACATGGAAGTTTCTCAAGACACGCGGAAGTTTCTCAAGATACATGGAAGTTGCTCAAGACACATGGAAGTTCCTCAAGACACATGGAAGTTAATCCAAAATGCTTAAGACGTTGGAAGTTCTTCGAACACAGTGACCCTAGTGCAAATAAGTCACCTTGTGTGACTTTTTTGGGTTATGCTAGTTAATTTACAGACGTGTAACTATGCAAGACAATTGTAATCATCCATAAACTACGTAAAACTGCACCTGAAGAAGTGTACTTACAGGAAGATCCTTGAGACTGCAGACGACGCACTGCTACTCTCTTCTCATCATTTACTAAAATAAGACTTAATTAACCCAAGAGGAAGGGGACGGAAGACACGCCTGACTTAAAGGGTAAACTGTTCACAAGGAAATAAACCTAAACTGGGCAACACAGCAAAGGAAACTGGACTTCAAAAAAACGAAGAATAAAAATCACGGCCAATCTCTCTGACGTTTCCTCACCGTAGCCATAAGTGCCTGCACCGCCGCGCCCGCCAGCCCTCCAGGAGACAAAAGAGCATATTCAGATGCTACAAACTGGCTTGGAATGCGCTGCTGGGGACTCACGGAACGCGTTTGATCTGATTCTGAACTCTATATTGAAATAATTGTGAGTCATGCAAATATGTTTCTTAAGTTGCTTAATCAAGTTAAAATACGGAGGCAAATACATAAGTAGAGCGCGCCCGCGCGCGGGTGAGAGTTAAAGAGCGTTTACCCGTATTAATAATCAGATAACATCCTGTGAGATAGGCCCTGTGAGATAGGCCTATGGTGCTAGTGACCTAGTTGTTGAAGTACCTTCAGCAGGAAAGAGGAAAAGAAAATAGAGAGAGAGAGAGAGAGAGAGAGAGAGAGAGAGAGAGAGAGAGAGAGAGAGAGAGAGAGAGAGAGAGAGAGAGAGAGAGAGAGAGAAAGGGAGAGAGAGAGAGACAGTTATCTCTTTTATGTCTTGTTCTCAGCATTTCTTGGTGTGCGAACTAATTACTGGGATCATTTTCATTGCCTTGTCAGATTTGAACTCAATTAGTAGCTCCTTCAGTTCACAACGGAAAAGACCCAGGTTCGAACCCTGTCCCGTAGCTCGGTTGGTAGCGCATTCACCTCACATACTGAGGTCCGTGGTTCGATCCCCGGTACAGATGGAAACATTTGGGCGTGTTTCCTTAAGACATCTGCTGTCCCTGTTCACCTAGCAGTAAAATGGGTACCTGGGTGTTAGCCAACGGTAGAGGGTCGCATCCTGGGGAAAAGGATCAGAAATAAATAACATAACAATACAGTGACTGGAACAATACATAAATAACCCGCACATACGAGAGAAGACCCATAATGGAAATGACGCAGACTGACTGGCTTTCATAAGAAGGGTTATTCTGAGTTACTAACTCTCGGGTAAATACGAATATAATCTGCATCATCTGTGCTCTCGAGGGCGTCAGGCGGCTCTGAGAACCTGAATGCCTCATCCTTTTTACGGAGATCTGAGTGACATCATTAAACCTCATGTTTACACAACATGAAATTTGAGAGAGAGAGAGAGAGAGAGAGAGAGAGAGAGAGAGAGAGAGAGAGAGAGAGAGAGAGAGAGAGAGAGAGAGAGAGAGAGAGAGAGAGAGAGTGTGTCACCTGACTGTGGTTGCTGGGGTAGATTCACAGATCCTGGCCCCGCCTCTTGCCACACTTTAGATTCACTCCCTTTCAACCTCGTCTATATCGTGCCTGGTCTTAAAACTACGTATAGAGCCTGCCTCTACTATTGCCTCTCCAGGATAATTCCACTTCACATAAAGGTGGTGACCCTACAGACTTAAACAACTATAGGCCAATATCAAACTTACTATTGCTATCCAAAATCTTTGAGAAACTCGTGCACAGGAGACTATATTCATTTATAACAGCACAAAACATACTCAACCCCTGCCAATTTGGATTTAGGAAAAATAAAAGCACTAATGATGCAATCATAAAAATGCTAGATCTGCTTTACACAACATTGGAAAATAAAGAATATCCACTAGGAATTTTTATTGACCTAAGAAAAGCTTTTGACACAGTAGACCACGACATCCTACTCCACAAACTTGACCATTACGGTATAAGAGGCCATACGCTTGCTTATTTCAAATCTTACCTTACTAATAGGTATCAGTATGTTACCATTAAAGACACAGCATCAACAACACGGCCACTTGATACTGGAGTTCCGCAGGGAAGTGTCCTTGGTCCCCTGCTCTTCCTCATATACATCAATGATCTTCCAAACGTATCCCAACACCTGAAACCCATTCTCTTTGCTGACGACACGACTTATGTCATCTCTCACCCTAATCTTGCCACCCTCAACACATTGTTAACGAGGAGCTGATCAAAATATCGACTTGGATGACAGCCAATAAACTTACGCTTAACACTGACAAAACCTACTATATTATGTTTGGTAGCAGAGCAGGAGATGCACAAATTAACATTAAGATCGACAACACTCTAATTACCAGACATAATGAGGGCAAATTCCTAGGCCTATACCTTGACAACAACCTGAATTTCAGCACCCATATCCAACACATAACCAAAAAAGTATCCAAAACAGTTGGGATCCTCTCCAAGATACGACACTACGTGCCGCAAAATGCCCTTCTCACACTATACCACTCACTTATTTATCCATACCTCAACCTATGCTATTTGTGCTTGGGGATCAACTGCAGCAAACACACCTAAAGCCAAGTATAACCCAACAAAAAGCTGCAGTAAGAATAATCACTAAATCCCATCCCTGGCAACACCCCCCCCACTCTTCATAGATCTAAACTTACTCCCTGTTCTGTACATTCCACACTTACTACTGTGCAATCTACATCTACAGGACCTTAAACTCCAATATCAACCTTGACCTTAAAACGCTTTCTTGATAGTTGTGACAGAACCCACAGGCATAACACCAGACACAAAACATCTCTACGACATTCCCATGTCCGACTAAACTTTACAAAAATTCAATGTATGTCAAAGGCCCTAAAATCTGGAACACCCTACTTGAGAACTCTAGAACTGCAGACACATTCATCACCTTCAAAACTACCATTAAAAACTTTCTTATCCCCCTGAAAAAACCCACACTAACTACAAGAAACCACCTGGGGGTTTTCACACTTTCATCCCCCCTTTTGACCAAAACAAAATATTAATCTAAAATTTTTAAAAAAAAGGGAATCCTTGATATCCAAAAACTGAAATATTTTACTGTGCCAAAACAAAAGCATTCAAAAATTGCTAAACCCACAAACTAGTATTTAGTCACTTACCCTAATCCCAAAACTTCCCCTCTTTAATTTGTAATTTTTTAAAATAAAGGGAATTTAAAAAACTAAGTCTGGCCAAAATGCCTACCCATGCTGGGCCCTTTCTAGGGTACACCTGAAATCTTTTTTAAAAACTACATGTAAACCACACAACAATCAAATTTGGGGAAATTAAAGGGGTATTTATAGAAATAAAATTTTGAATTAATTAAATTTTGGAACTGAAGTAATATTTCCTACCATCCTTGAGGCTCAAATCTGACTAACTTCCAAGCTGTGTCCCCGATTTTCCCGTTTCTTTAAATTTTTTTTTTTATTTATTTATTAAAATTTTGTGCACACAACAGAGGTACAAAAAAATTACCGAAAGAGCATATGCCCCAAACCACTTATACTATGCATAGCATTACGGGCTGGCCCCTTAAAAAAATTTAAATTTTAAAATTAATTAAGCAATGATTGGGGTCAGTGATAAAACATTAATGTAAACAATTAAATTAAAGCACAAGTGAGTAAATTTCAAAGGGAAAAGGGCATATGAAGGAAATTTTGGGTTTGGTAGTGTATTTAAAAAAAAAATAAAGTTAGATTGGGGGTTTTTGGTTTAAATTTATGTAATAATTTTGAAAAAAATTTTTAAAATATACAATTTATAAGGTTCAGTTATTCAGTATTTATTTGGGTTTTTTTTGAGTAAGTGATTCTTTTAGTAGAGACTTGAATTTTATAAACAGGTATTTTTCTTTTATTTTTTACAGGTAATGAATTCCAGAATTTTTTGGGCCCCTTTTTTGTGCATTGGAAATTTTTTTCTAGTGTGAGATGAACACGAGGAACATCAAAGAGTGATCTGTGCCTTGTTTTTTTTATGGTCATGTGTTTTTGGGTTTAGGTTTGGGAAGGAGATGGGTTTTAGGGGGGGGTTAATTTTCAGAGTTAAGGTTCTATGTATTTAATAGGTGGGAGTAATAATATGGATTTTTTTATTGGGGGTAGGTTTAAAATGTATTGAATATTTGGGGGGTTTTTGCTGCCTGTAGTTTGGGGAATTTTTTATCATTCTAACTGCGCCCTTTTTTTGGGTAATTAGTGGTCTGAGAGGGTTAACTGTTGTTGAGCCCCATGCACAAATTCCATAGGTGAGATAGGGGAAAATAAGAGAGTGATATAGGGCCAGGAGGCTGACTGTGGAACATAGTACCGTATCTTCGATAGTATCCTACAGTCTTGGAAATTTTTCCCTTAGAAATTTGTTGTATATGTGTATGAAATTTGAGTCCCCCCTATTATCAAGGTGGATTCCTAAGAATTTTCCCTCTGTTAGCTTTGGGGATAGGTGATCCGTTTATCTTTATGTTAAGAGGGACATCTGTAGCTCTTTTACCAAACTGAATGAAGAAAGGTTTTTGTCAATGTTAGTGTAATTTTGGGTTAGTCCACATCCAGGTAGATATTTTCTGTAATTCGGTATTTACAGTATTGGCTAGTGTGACTGGGCTCGGGTGAGAGAAGACGTATGTAGTGTCATCTGCAAATAGTGTGGGTTTGAGTAAAATTTCGAAGCATTTGGAAGGTCATTTATGTATAGGAGAAAGAGAAGAGGGGCCCAAGGGGCACTTCCCCTGTGGGAACACCAACTTGTAAATTGGTTGCGCAGAAGAGTTTGCCCCATTTGCGTACACATAATTTGGGTTCTGTTGCTGAGGTATGACTTTAGTAATTGAGGGAGTGCCCTCTTATACCATAGTGTGACAATTTTACGTGGAGCAAGTCATGGTCAACTGATCAAAAGCTTTACGTAAGCAATGAAAATCCCCATTGGACTTCTTTTTTCTCTATTGCAGTGTATATATGTTCTAAACATGTGTATAATAGCAAACCCTTAGTATTTTTATTAGGCCTGAATCCAAATTGGCAGGGTTGAGTATGTTCTGGGAGATAAGGTAGGGGTAGATTCGTTTATGAATTAGTTTTTCAAAGATTTTTGAGAGAGGGGGTTTAAGTTGGATATTGGCCTATAGTTAATTCAACCTGTTTGGTCTCCTCCTTTGTGGATCGGGGGGACCTTGCTATTTTGAGTACTGTAGGGAAGGTGGAGGATTCAATGGATTTTGTTAAAAGTGTTGCAATGATTGGAGTAGCACTTGTGACACTTTTTTATATATAAAGGGTGG